ATACGGCAAGATTTAATCGGCGGCGATCTTTTACTAGTTACTTGTTGAGACGGGCTGGATCAGTTAGGCACAGATCGAAATTTTCTTGATTTTTTCGACTAGTGGATAGACTATCAAAAAGTCAATCAGTAAGGCTTTGTTAGTTCAGGGGAGAGTCCTGTTCTCAATTATCAGGCCCTTGCTATTTTCCATGTAAGGAAATTAAGTAAGGCTCGTTATTGTAGCGGGACACATCAATTGAATCGTATTCGTACTTGCAGTTCAGTCCAAGTATTCTGCATCAAGCCCTAACTTGAAATATATATCGAAACCAATACGCTTCCTTCGCAGCGCTTACAGACTAGAAGGGGGTTCGCACTTGGCATATTACGAACAGTACTACGTATTTACTAAACAATCCAGTACACAAACACTTTATCGCCACTTACTAATATATACGCAGCATAATCCCTTGGCCTTGAATTCTTGATGCATGGACATTAGACATAAGAAGAATTCTCTGTTTTCCCTTGTGAAAGTGGGTATGCCAGGCCCGGTTGTTACCCACCCGACCGTTGGGCTGATCGGGAACCCGAGGTAAGGCGAGGCGCTGTGGATTGGCAGACTGGCGGACTGGCGGAGTATATTCTCAATGTAGAATGCCTCGGCAACCTGTTAGAAATGCTTTGCTCCGTACGGATACTGTCGTACTCTGTACTACTATGCTATACTTAATGGTCGGGCACTCGGATGAAAGGTAGCGGATCTGAAAAGTCTGCTGACCCGTATAGACGTATGCGTGCTCTGTCTCTCTCGTGAGACGCTACTGCTGGGTAGGGAAAAGCAGGATTCTACGCAGCGGTTGTTGAATCTTCGTGATATCTCGGCATTAACTCGGGCTATCGATCCTGATAGTCCTGCATAACATAGTATATATAGTCTCTTAGCCGAGAATATTCCGAGTGATCCCATAGTGAGGTAAGGTGTCTATCTCCATTGAGTATCCTCTCATAGTAAGACACAGTAAAAGTATACTATGATATCTGATATGAAAGTGTACTACCTAGTTTATATGCGTTGGGGTGTTCATGCTTAAAACAGCTCTATCCGTAAATCTGAATTAGGGCTGGGAGACAATTTCGACCTCATGAATACTGTATGTTGGATTCCCCAGATGTATTCCTTTTGTAGGCGAAGTTTATATCCTTAGTTTGAAATATATATCAAGCGAGCTTCGTCTTGCGCTATGGCTCTATGTGGATACATATACATATACATATACCTTTATATATACTAGTGCAAACTTATATAAACCTGATCGCATCCTGTGGTTCGAACTATGTACATTCAAATAATATAAATAGGACTATATCTTGTATTTTACGGAAATATCGCAACGATGAGCGTCTTCATCAACTGTGGGGGTTACAGAGTGTTTCAGCTAAATTTAAAGCTAGGTGTAGCTCAATCCAAGGATACAACGGTAAACACGGGGGGTTTCAGCCTTATTATTATTAGGCTATAAATAGAAGAGCTGCTTCTTTGTGAGTTAGATATAGTGGTTTCGATTCCAAACGTGGAAAGCGTGTTTCGAAAGCTTAAAATGGACAAAGGATAGGTTTCCAGTTGAGCCGAGAAAGTATCGTGTTGGTTTTATAAGCTCGTCGGAAACTGCTGTTTGGCTTGAACTTTTTCATGTTTCATCCTATAAAGGAGTTTCCTACAGGGTATTAACCATGGATATGAGGGTTAGCAGTGGTAACGGCAAGAATACCGGTAAGAAACAGTGTCGCTTGACCCCGGATAAGCACCTATAACTGGCACGCCAGGCCGAACAACGTATATCTCCAACCAAGACAACCTATAAGGACATTATTCTGACCAGAGTAGTGGTTTTTTCTCAGAATAATTGAGGGTAGATCGGCGGAAACATTTCGCTGGGTTTTATTGGTATGCTTTCAACATGCTCATATGCTTGCTACTATCTGCGGAACTGCATGTTTACAAAACACAAACAGTCGCCATGCTGGATGCAATCCGTACTTCTCAGCTTAAGATCTGAGATGGGTTGTTGCGAGGGTCCTGCGAGATTCCAAAATCATAGGTTTATTGGCCTGGGTTGAGTAACATGGCTTAGCTTCCCAAGTTTAGGTAAGACGTAAACGGCGAATGTTTCTACCAAATAAAGTACTGCCGGATGATATGGATTTGTTGGACATTCTGCGCTTTAGATCTCGTGCAACTTCCCACTGTTTCCATTCGAAAGCATCTGATTGTATTTGGCAGAATCTTGCGTATATGCTCTCCGAAGAATTTCGTGGATGGCAGGCATACTGGTTGGTGGCACTGGCACCATGTATTGCTCTCAGAGTTCTCGGCCATCTCAACCAGGAATTGCGCATACCAGAAGCTTCATGTTCCCAGTTAATTGCTGATTGAGCAGCTGCTAAAGACTAGCTGCTTTTTTGGTCTTGAGCAGTTCACGGAGAGGCTACTTGCATTGCTTCCAAGCCTCGCTAATTTAAGCCGCGGGCATCTCGAGGGCACTCTATTTGTTCCATTAGAATGTCAGTACTCGTCGTTTTTTTGGTAGTTGAGCTTAGCGTATGTTCTGTGGAAGGAAAGTGCAACGGCGTCAGCTGCTCCTGCCCCTTCCCAAAGCTCTTCCGTTGCACCTTCCTCTGGTATAATACTCGTTTGGCCCAGCAAGGTAAGTGCGATGATGCACCAGCCCTGCTGAGGCCATTTGTTCCTTCCTATCTTGTCATTATGACACCCTTACTACAGTAAGCCTTTTATTGCACTCCAATGGGTGGTCTGGTATTTGTGTGGCATAAAGCTCTTCTGCGTTGTGCCTGATTTGAGTCACTCAGGGTTAGGGCTATCCATCGATAAACTCAAATATGTCCATTGAAGCCCAGTAAAAGGCCATATAGCATTATAGAACCCATTAGAGGTCCAGAAGGGAGGAGAGGGGGAGTATTTGAAGATTAGTCGTGAGGATTGGAGGAGGTGTTATCTTTCGATTGTTGGGGCTTTAGGTTATACACGAACATAGACCTATCCCTTGAGCGGTTGTCCTCACTAAGGACTCAAGGCGCACTAATGCTTGCAGACTTCTTTTGCGACATTTTCTGGCTAAATCAGGCTCGCAACAATTGGTGTAAATGGATTCACCTGGTGACGTGTATTCAACACTGGCGGACAATCGAGGTAAAAACACGAGGTGAAAGGGCCCAGGCATCGGCCTTGGTCTTCCATGCCCAGAATAGACTAGATATAAAATTCTTGGAAACTAGTCTTGTTTAGGGCTTATAGACGAGTGCGTCTATACAGTCATTGAGAGATGGATACTAAAAAGCAAATATCAGTACGGCAATCTACCGAAATAAAGCCGGAGGCGAGATGAGATGCCAAGCTGATAAGTCGAATCTGCCAGTGCAGATATTGTTCTAGATTAACGGAGATGATCCGAGTCTCGACTGTTGAGAAATATTTATTCCGTTTAACTATCCTAATATGGGCGGGTTAACAGGTGGCCAGGGCTGGATATATCAGCGTTTCCATTGTCCCGAGATCTATCCCAATTGTTTCAGGCGAGAACATTCTGGTACAGTGTCTGATAGTTTCAATTGAGGACCAAACATGGGATTGTTGCAGCCAAGAGAAGAAAAAGGCCAGCGATTATGGCTCACTCGCAAAGTAGCTAGCAATTCCCTCTCCCCGAGGATTTCTGTGTGTCAGGATATGCCCTCGAGGTGTCAATCCCCCGCAAGTCCGTCGCCAATCAAAACCGCGATAAAACAATGAACAGGCTTTCCCGGCGAGTCTCGGGACGTCTGCACTCAATTCCCAATAGGAGAAATGCCGCTCTTCGGCACCGGTTGCAATGGGAAAGCTTCAGAGTGCCGGCCGAGTCCGGTTGCGGGCTCGGCGATATCTCGCCTTGCGCTATGGCAACTTGGCCGTGCAGGGGCTCGAATCCTGGAGAGTGCGAGGAACGAGAAGAGAGTTCAAAGGTGGCTCCATCCTGTGCATACAAAGGGAAGGTATAGAGACCATCACGTGGGGCACTATGCCTGGTCCAGACAACGCGGGGTCTCCTGCCTTCTCCGCGTCATCTTCTTGGCCTTCCAAGGCCCAACTTCCGAAAACTCCATCCCGTATCAGAGGGACTCGGGAAGTGTTCATCGCCAGTCATTGGCAAAATGGCTGCCGTGATAAAACGCTTGCAAGCACATGACCTTGCTTCAAACCGAGGCCGGGTCAGTTCAGCCAACGATAGACAAGCCTCGCAGCTGGCGTTGTCCTCTCTTGTCTCGCGTCCGCTCCCATCCAATAACCTTTTTCTTGGCAAGAGTAAGCGTCTCCAAAACTCTTCTTTTGCATGCTTTCCAAGACAGCCAAGGCCTCGGAGGTGCCACCGGCCCCCGAATACTGGCAACCTCCCCGACTTTCTTGCCCCAGAAAAACCGGGTGTTTGATCGGTGTCCCCGGCTTCAGCCCGCATACACCCACCCCACTACGAAATGTGATTGTGAGATGAGGCTGTCTGTCACCTCTCCGGGATGGGCAAGATATCGGAAAGTCTCCGAGTCATGCCACCCGTCATTCTCCGGTATCAAGAGACTCCAGACTGGGGATGTCATTCTCGGCGCACAAACCCCAGCAAGGGTCTCGTGGCCTCGCGTGCTCTCCAGAAGAGATGACACCCTCGCCTCCCTCGCGGGGATCTCGATGCAGCTGAGCTGAACTGTGCATTCCCTCAACCCTTGGCAGTTGAGGCTGCTATCTCGTCTTGTTCACTTTCGAAATCTTGGAGCGAAAACCTGCACTCTGTAGTTAGAGTAGATTGAAATACCGTATTTCGACCTCATCGTTTGACCTTCCTCGAGGCTGGTCTTTGTTTGTCCTTGGCTGACAGCATCCCTTTGTCTTGTTTTCGTCCTTCCATGACCATGGCGAAAATTGTGTGAGCTAGCGCGTCTGGGCATCCACGTTGAGACCAGTCGATCCCCAGGAATGCATCCAAAACGGGTTGTGCTCGGCATCTGGTTCCAACCCCAGATTGCTTAGGCCCTTGGCAGCACTTTCGCCCGCGGTGGATTTGTAGCCCGCCGTGGGGCTTGTACGCAATGGAAAGCCACATTATCCATGGGAGGGGTTTGATTATGAGGGACTATCATTATTGCGTGGGGTGACATCGCGCACCCTCCGCATGAAACCCTTGATGTAAGACGCGAAGACGATGGCAGGGGGGCAAGCTCGACCAAGCGGCCGTGAACTTTATAAGTAGAGTCAACATCCCTTGCTCCAACACGAAGCCCGCCCATTAAAAACAAAGCTTTCTTGTTTCAACAAAAAGTTGCCATGTCTTCACACAACGAGCCTGCTGAGCCCGTCGCAGAGGGCGTCTGGGCTGTTGCAAAGCAGTCCTGGGTTGATCTCTTTAGATGGCGGCAGCGTGTCGAAATAGTTAACGAGCACGACGAGAAGCGTGCGGAATGGCAAGACCCCGAGCCCTTCCAAAACCCCATCAAACTTTTTATGTTGCTGAGTGCGCGGGACTGGCTATTCTTTCTCGTCGGCCTTGGGGCCTGGACTGCGGATGCGTTTGACTTCCACGCGCTATCCATCCAGCAGGTGAAGCTTGCCGACTACTACGGGAAGACCAAGACAGATATATCCACTGCGATTACTCTGACGTTACTACTGAGAAGTGTGGGAGCGGCATTCTTCGGTCTCGCGGGTGACAGATGGGGTCGTAAATGGCCCATGGTCGTCAACATGATCGTGCTTGGAGTCCTCCAGATTGCAACAATCTACAGTGGCACTTTCCAGCAGTTCCTGGCAGTGAGAAGTTTGTTCGGTCTGTTCATGGGTGGTGTATATGGAAACGCCATCGCCATGGCTTTGGAACACTGCCCGTACGTATCATTCCTTGAGCAAGATTGCCCCTTCAATGTTAATTGTTGCATAGTGTCAGTGCCCGTGGTCTCATGTCTGGGATCCTCCAGCAAGGATACTCCCTCGGATATGTCTTTGCCGCATGTGCCAACTTGGGAGTTGGGGGAGAAACCGAAAGCTACAAGACAGTGTTTTGGATTGCCGGTATGTCTTCTAAACCGCGAATATATCGAGTTCTAAGGAAATTTAGCTGGAATCTCGATTGGCATTGGTCTAATTCGTGTACTCTTCCCCGAGTCGAAACAATTTCTTGAGGCAAAGGCGGCAGGCAAACAGTCAGTTAGTGCTGGAGAGTTTTGGAGAGAGACAAAACACATGGTTGGCCGAGAATGGAAGATTTCGTTTTACTGCATTCTCCTGATGACTTGGGTGCGCTTTCCTCTTATATGAAAAATGACCCAACTAACCATATACAGTTCAACTATTATTCCCACATGTCTCAAGACTCTTACACTACGTTCATGTTGACCCAGAAGGAACTGGCAAATGACGGTGCTTCTCGTGCGTCGATCATCATGAAGACTGGCGCCTGTGTTGGTGGTACCATCATTGGATATCTATCCCAATTTGTTGGACGTCGCCGTGCTATTATTGTTGCGGCTTTCATATCCGGTGTACTCATCCCTGCCTGGATCCTCCCCACGACCGAGAGATCCCTCAGCGCAACCGGGTTCTTTCTCCAATTCTTCGTGCAGGGTGCTTGGGGTGTCATTCCCATTCATTTGAACGAGCTCTCCCCACCTGCCTTCCGATCTCTGTTCCCAGGTACGTTTGGATTCTTGGTCCGCAGGGCTATGCATACATTCTAACAAAGTTCAAGGTCTTACCTACCAGGTCGGAAATATGATCTCCTCCCCATCAGCACAGATTGTCAACGCTGTCGCAGAAAAGACATTTATCTCAAGTCCGTCTGGAACACGTGTTGAGGCCTACGGCCCTACCATGGGCGTATGTACTGCAATTATCGCTACCGGAATCATGGTGACAGCCGCCTTCGGACCGGAGAAGCGTGGTCGCCGCTTCGAGACCGCTGTCGTGGGTGTTCAGGAGGAGCTGCAGACAAAGACCGTGGAAGACCCTGAGAAGGGGGACTGCGAGCCGGCCGACGAAAACATTGAGCGCGCATCCAAGAATTAGGCTTCTCTTTCACCCATTCATGACAGGTAATATGGTATATGATGAAACGATGGTGGACGATTTGACATATGGTTGAGCGATCTTGATTATGAGATGAAGATTAGTGATTTTGCAGCAATTTCCTCGATAGTTTGCAATTGAAGGAGAAGTCGCGGACTCTTCATTTTTTCTCATAAACACTAATCATATCAGACCCCTTCCCAACCTCATACGTTCTTTTTGGTTTCATATACACCCGCCTTGTAAACTTCCCAACTCCCTCATCGCCACCAGCCAGAATCTCCCAATGCACCCCGTTCACACCCCACGGGGGCCCAGGAAGCCCAGGGTCCTTATACATCGGAAACTCCAAGCAAACCAAGAGTCCCCTAGGTTTCAACAGCTCCGCCATCCGCTCCGCCCACCGTCCACGCTGGCTCGGATGTAGGGCGCACAGAAACTACGCCTTGTCAGCAGTAGCACCACCTACACATAAACCAATCTAACTCGCAGCAATACATCAAATCCAGCCTTGGGTGAAGGAAAAAAAAAAAAAAAGAAAAAGAAAAAGGAAATGATATTATACTCACAGTATAATCATAAACAACATCAAACTGCTCAACACCCAGCTCGTCAGGCCAAGTCTCGTCAAAGAAGTCTCCTTCTACAAACTGGGCCTTTCCCTTTCCCAGCTGGATAACACTGGGATTTGCGCTGTATGCTGTCCCGAAATTACACGCCTGCGGAGAAGCAAGCTCTTGTTCTGCGAACTCTCTCGCCTCCGAGACTGCGGTTCCTGAGATCTCAAGGCCGTATGCGTCGAACCCGTGGAGCGCGAGGGCGATTACGTCGTAGCCCCGACCGCAGCCCTGTCACTCATTAAATAAATATAAATACTATCCCATTTGTTTCTTGAACCCCTGGTGTGGAAGATACTGGACAGGCATTGTAAGAAATAACTAAGAAAATTGAGATATGCATACCGGTACAAGCACTTTCTTCCTCCTTCCTACTCCTACTCCTACTCCTACCTCCTCCCCACCTTCCCGCTGATAACTACGAATACTAGTAGCAGCAGCCTGGAACGGATAAAACAGCGTCTCGTTATATGCCTCAACCAAGTCAATCAAAGCAGGAGACGGAATACCTCTATCCCAGAGGTCGCTTTGCCCCGAATTCCATAGATCGGACCATGCTTCGCCGTGGGAGGTTGTGGGTCTGTTAGACGTTGGAGTGGTGCTGAGTAAGGGAGCTAGCTGGCTAAATTGCAGACATTAGGAGAAACTACGTACCGATTCTCGAATTGTGAGATTAAACGGCCTTTTGGGGGGGGTTGTGTCATTTTTGGTGCTTCTTGGGTCGGTAGGTTGGATTGCAGTTGCAGAGTAGGTAAGGAATGCGGGTTGGGTTAACGTTGTGGGGAGAGGTACGGTACAGAGTAGGTGGTCTTGGCGGGGGAGCTGTATTTTGGGTCCAGGAATTTAGGGCTCGGGCAAAGAATATATTGATATAAAGTTGGGAGGGACGGCTTTATTTTGCGAGTCCTGCAATGACAGCATACCGTCACATAATATCGTCTTAAAGCTTAGCTCTCGAGTGACCCTCTTTAGCTAGTAAACCCAAACCACTTCAGATCCTCATCACCCTGAACCTGGATGTTATGATCCACCCCATTCGCCAAAATCCCCTGTAGATTCGGGCCCCAGATCGTCTTATCCCAGTTTTCCAAGGGCGTATCATTCTGCGTCTCCTGTGGCGAGTCATAGGTGTACCCAAAGACGCCGGCCCACTGCTTGCAAGTCTCGTAGTAGTTCTGGGTGTCCAGCGTGGTATCCTGGCTTCCGTGGTAGATCTGCAGCTTCGGCCTGTCACCGTCATAGTCGGGGTACATAGCTTTTGCGATCTCGGCCCAGTGCTCAGGTGTGCTGACGGACTCTCCCGTGGAGCAGGTGCTGTTCCACCAGGCTTGCTCGTCGGCTTCGGCGTAGAAACACCCGGCTGCTACACCTGCGTAAGCGATACCGGCGGAGAAGAGCTCGGGGTAGGTGGCTGCCATAACGTTCTGCGGCTGTTAGCTTTTACTAGTAACTAAACGGCAATTGGAAACGTACTGTCATCATTGCGCCAGAGCTAGTTCCCATCACGTAGACGCGGCTGGAGTCCGCATTGTACTGGTCAATCGTCCAGGTCACCATGTTAGCGATGGAGTTGCTGTTGCCGCCTCCGTTGTGGGTTAAGGAAGACTGGGAGCTGACGTCCCAGCAGCCGCCCTCATAAGGGCTTTCTGGGTAAATGACGATGAAACCGTGGGTTTCTGCATACTGGGCGTAGGGTGTGCCAGTATAGTACGCTTCGGCGGTTCCTGTGCCTGGTAGTCATCTATTAGCGAAGCTCGCTTCTAGGCAGTTTGATGGTTATACAGTAGTGGATGGCTACGACAATGGCAGGGCTAGTAGCCAGGTTTTGCGGGACGTATATATAGAAACCGACGTTGGTAGGATTCTCTCCAAAATCGGTGACTTGGGACAGCTCCCCGGGTGTTGGAGCACGTCGGCTCAACGTAAAGGCGCTGCAGGCGAGTGCATAGAAGAGAACCGAGAGAATGTGTCGTAGCGGGACCATGATGGGCATAAGTCGCATGAACGTCAAGGCATTTAGATTATAGAGGATTTAGGGTGCCGGGTTCGGACCCTTCATATATCTCCAATTTCAATCATCACTGGGCTGATCGAGGCAGTTGTTGCTCCTCAATTAATCACATACTCGCTAAGCACGGCCACGACACGGGGAGTCCGCATCTAAAACGCCGGGTCGGGATCGGCAGACAGAGCTGCCCAAACGAAAAGAAACTTGTCAAGGAATGATTGAGGGTGATCCGGATAAATTGCTTCGACGTTCTTGTACGCTTAAACTGTATTCCCCACGTTCCCCCTTTCTGGCATTGGGTGTTTCTCCGAAATTGGTACGGCTATTCTTCTCGGCGCTTCGACCTTGCAGAATGAGGAATCTTCCGCTGGCCCGCGTGAATCAGGAATGTAGCTCTTGCATGGGTGCTGATGTATCGGATGATTAATTCATCATAGTTTGCCCGACAGTCACCCTCATTCTCTATGCCAATATACGTTCCTGCAGTTGATGACATCGGATCTACCCGAGTTATATTAACTTTCAAAGTTCGATACGACTCCACATGGAGAGGAATAACAGTTGTTGAGGGAGGGGAATTCCTTATGTTCTCGCTACTATCTCCAGACGCGTCTGGCTGGGTCAGATGAGCTGAATCTCATGCTTTCAATAACAAATAGTGATAGGAAATCTGCGATGGAATCTAGCTGTCAACATTATTCCCTGTGTGAGAGGCAGAGTGTCAGTTAATGTACCTGCAGGGATAGAGGTCATGTTGCAGAAGACTGAAGAATTGAGGGACTGATGGACTGAGCAGATTCCCCCTCATCACCTGATCCCAGGCTTCTTCTTCCAAGTTTTGCCCCCAAGTTTCCTCCATTCTTCGCACTCTATTCAATACAAGGGGAAGCGAGCCCCATACGAGTTTGCTCCAGAAGCACTGGCGCATTGGCCAGCAAACGACCAAGTTCAGTCTAGTGTTGTGTTCTAAGACTCGTATTATGGCTTTGGTCCATACGCCTTCACATTGCTCAAGGGCAGTCATACGCTTCCTATATTAATTCTTCATTCTATTCTTCATTCTACAAGGACAGCGAGACTCGCACTCACATGGATAATAGCTTATGTCTGTTTGTATTTGACGCTGATTACTCTCTTTCGTGACAATCTACACCCAACTATGTCAAAATGTTTATTTGACTCTTCGCGCCCTTTCCAATATTAGAAACCACAATTACATGCTCATCTACAATTTCCACATGGATAGCCAACCTTCAAGGCATACTTCGAAAACCCCGGAGCGGATGGCACCATCGAATTGGCATCCGTCGTCCCTATCAGAATAGGGTCCTCGTGGGACAACAACAAAGCCCGTGACACCATGCAACTCGAACACTCAATCAACCAGCCAGCCGCCTCAAGTGGGGGTTCAACAACCAAACCAAAATCTATGCCATCAAACAAGATGAAGTACGGCAAATATCGCGAATATTGTATTCTCCCGTCCGCAGGAAACCTACACCTGACCGTCGAGAACTCAACCAACTTCACCCGCGCCGCATACTCGACTGAGGATGGTGCCCAGGTCACGCAGCAGCACGATACTGAGCTGTTGTCCGCCCATCCATACACAGGCTGGAAACAGTGAACATGGCTCGTGTGAACTACGCGAATGAATCGGATGAGCTTTGGGACTTTATACATGCGGGTATTAGTTCTGGATGGGTCTACGGTATGCTATAAATAAAATTGTACACAGCTGCACGAAACAATAATCCCAATAAACTAAAAGACAAATTGGAAAATCGACAAAAAGTTTTTTGACTGCATTCTTCTGTGAGGAGCAATGCAGTACGACCAAAACTTTTTAGGCGTCGGGGTCTCACCACAATCTAGCAGGTCGGTGTCGCGAGGGATGCTTCGGTTAGGAAAGTCTATTTCGCCTCTGGAATTCAATAATATGCAATGGCTGGGGCTGAGATCTCCGAGTCGGAGGTCCGGAGTTACATTTCAGTCGTGGCGGTGATATGCAAACTAAGGCCTGCGGCCGAAACGGATGTTATTCGGCGTTCGGCAGATGTCGCCGCACCGAAAGTCTGAACTCTATAAGAACCCGCCTCCCCCTTCTCTTGTTTTTCGTATTATTTTGTGCTGACCACAGCAAACAGGTCGGTCCCCGACCAGGTTAACGTCTTTTCTAGAATTCATGCCATCGAGGATGCGATAAAATTACATGTTGTTTGTCACTTCATGAATTTCCTATGTTCATACTAGGAAACAGCATTACGTCCGACACTTGGTTCAGAATATTGTCAAGATGTCCGTCTTCCAAAGGCACGCCGTATGCTCCTCCGTAGGAAGGCATTGAGGCTGCAAGGTGGGCGAATGCGGGCGAGGGCAGAAATGGGGCGTCTTGCGGAACGCTCCGCGTCGCACTTTCTCCTTTCAAGGGTGTCCCCTGTTCGTTCTGCTGGTCCTTTCCCGAACCAAATGCAGATGTGACTGCCCGAAGCGCTTCCAATGATGAGGAAAGGTGCTTCGCCGTGTCTGTGCGCGTGGTCGGGGTCACACTCCCGTCTGAATATACGTGGTCTGCGAGGACCCTTTCGAGTCGCCGGAGCAAGTCCCGAGATTGTGGCCAAACCTGGTCGTTTCTACTCGCGATAAGGAGAAAGGCCGATGCAATGGTCCGTTGAACACTGATCCAGGTGCGCGATGCATACGGGCTGATCGTGTGCAACTCAATAAAGGCTTCGATTAGGTTCACCAAATTCGCCAAACACTCGTGCCGTAAGCTCTCACGTTCTTGATCGGTGATCGACGCGTCCGGATCCAAAGATACCCGGCACAAAAGCGAGATATAATACGAAGAGTGCAGCTTCAGCTCCGCCCATTCAATGCTGTCTGCTAAGCTGGCGCAACGCTCTCTGAAGCGCAGGTGCGGCGCAGCCTCTGCAAATATGCTGCGTATTTGTTTCACATGCACGAAAATTTCTCTTGGTTGAAGGTGCAAGTGCTTCTCCATCATTAAGATACGGAGCGTCTCAAGGACGACGCCAAGAATGCAAGACAGGGTCTCGAAGTATGACCGATGCCCGGGCATCGATTTGCGGTGGTAGGGAATATCTGGCTGGCTGATCATGGTAATTGAAGGCCGATCATAGGCCAGGGAAAAATGACTATTCTGAAATGCCATGGCCCACCTATGCAGTCAGGGAAACACTATTATTAGTATGTATTGCACCACTTAATCACAACGAAGCCTGGTTACGTACCAAACCCTTCTCCGAGCTTCTTGAAGGACTGGTGGGTAGCCAGGCGCCTCTGCGTGCAGTCCAAGAACCATACAAAGACGTTCCGTCAGCCCTATTGTTGGAAATCGAGGCCATCGTCAGCTATATTATAAGCTGTCGCTAAGATATGGTCACCCACCGAGCAATGTGTAAGATGCTCCAGCATTCATGTTGTAGGATAGAACACTGCTAATGATTAACAGAACCTGGATGACTTCCACCGACGGCTGCGATACATAATTCAGCATGCGCAGACACTGGTACGAACAGGAAACTAGGAGCTGTTAACCTTCAGATAACATGTCTATTTCTTGCAACAGACGGCTCACCATATATCCAAGAAGTCATCTCACGTTGGATTCCCGGTAAATCAGAAAGCTGGCAGCCGGAGGCAAGAACTGCGAAGCAGAGGCTCAGAAAGCCGATGCTCATTCCAAATGGTTTCAACGGGCCATCCCCGTCCGGCTGATAGACTCCGCCTGTTCGTTGTCGGCCCTCCAATAACTGCTTCAGGTCACTCTCGAATTGATCAATATCTGAAAGTACAGGATACAACACAGCTGCGATATTTTTGTAACAACTAAACAGTCTACAGGAGTCAGGCGGCGGGTTCGTCCAAATTGAAATAGAATATGGTTTAAACTCACTTGAAACACTGATCTTCATCCGGCAGTACGTCACATACGCCTCCAATGTTAAAGGTCAGCGGATCCGACGACCAGAGGTCAACGAAAGGATATCCGCTGTTGTCATTTTCCAATGCAAACTGGCCCAGCAAATCGTCTCTGGGTAGCACCTGCGCTGGGTCTGCCGCACTTTTCGTCTTGTCTAAGATATCATGCAACGCAGACCGATTTCCGATATGGACCGAGCCTGTTTTCAACGTGGTCGATCCATAGATGTTGTTATTTGGCCGCGACAGGGATTCACCTACGTCGCTTGCGTCTGGATGACGATCGATTGGTTTCTGCGGTTGTGGCGGTTGCAGTGGATGACAATGGGCCTGAACGATTGATTTCATGCTTGCTAGGACATGTGCCATCTCCTGCATCTTGATATTGAGTTCTTCCCACTCGACGGGAGATATCGAAACTGTATCCGAGGATGGATCGTCCGTACCAGGACCGGCAGAGGAGAGGGCATCATGGTTACTTGTCGATAGCGTCGGTGGGGGGTTTATCTGCGGTACATTTCCTGGGGTCGTTGAAACCACGAAGTTCTCGGGAGCAATTGGGGGTATGGGGGAGACCAAGGTTGGCGGAGGTCCACCGTAGGTACAACTAAACCCGCGCTTGATGCAGTTGCTGCATGGCACATTTCGGTCACAGCGGACCTTGCTCGCGCGACATTGATGACATGTTTTGCACTCGCGTGGCCGGCGTCGAACAGGGTAGACTGGCATCGCAATCGATAACGTGCCTTCCCCGTTATGGGTAAAGGCAAATGCGGGCACTGCGGGGGGAGACTGGTCGAATAATCTAATGCGAACCCAAAACACATGCGACCGACATTAGACCCAAGACGCCAAATGTTCTGTAACCAAGCATTTCAAACGAATGCAGAATTGCAACGGCCATAGGCAGGCAAAACAAAAGGTAATCGCGATCTAGCAAGACCGAAGGATCGCCGCGGGTCAGGGAGCGAGGGCCAGCTCAGTCGCGGTCGCGAGAAGGTTCAATCCTATTAATTCTCTATCAACGCCAAAAATACTGCAGAGGTTGAAGAGAGGAATATCAGTTGATGCACATTGATTGATAATGGAAGAGGCGGTACATTTGCGATCGACAATTCGCTGGAGAGGTGATGTTGAGGCGCGCGTCGTGCTCGGAATTCCAGCAGGGTCTGTGCTCAGAACCGAAGCCAAGACTGCGGCTCATGGTTGCTGCAGAACCGGAAAGTATGGACACAGAGTTGTTCCGAAATTATTGCGGGGACGGACAACTGTGCAATCCAATCCTTCCGTTCTCTCCCAACCAGTACTAACAATTAACATGTAATTTCAACCGTTGATCCATTTCTATAGTGTTGTCTCTAATACACATAATGTCATTATCGTCTACCCCATACAGCAGCTGGCATTGCTGCTGGCCTCTTGCTGGCTGCTCGCCGTCTATCACATCGTCCTCGTATACTCTCTATCTCGTATATTTGCTAGCTCAAGCCTTCTTACTCGGCTGAGCCTGCGAAACCTGCGGAACAGCCCACCAGTCATGCCAACGGGGCTTGACACCCGCCTCGGGAATATCGACCCGGAGATTAAGCGGCCGCGCCCCAGAAGCAATCGCCTTCTTTACAGTTTCAATCGCAATGCTCGCACCGATACAGGCCCGCATTGTATCCTTCACATCACGATTCCAATCTTCTGCAATAGCCGGAGCGTCGGGCTTTTCGCCATTCAAGTCGTCGAATGGCCCGTTGGCGAGCGTTGTTTCCCAGGCTTTTCGTGCTTCCCCGATGGCCTTGGTTGCGCGCTCCATGACGATTTCATCGCTGTCGCCTTGAAGGGTGGCTTCGCGACTATATTCTTCATATGGGACAAGTTCTGGAAGCGTAATTTGGAGGAATGGCTTCATTCGGAGCTCGTACCGGAATTGGTCGTTTGAATACGCTTGTGGTCCGGCGGCGGTGGGGAGAAGTTTGTGTCGGGATAGGAGGACGTACAGGGCGTGTAGAGCGATTGCAAAGGCATCGATGGCGACAATCTGCATTGTAAGGCGGTCGAAGAGGAGGAATGATTTGCGTAGGACGGCGTGTTTGGCTAGGGAAGGCCGGCTTCGCTGTGCGCCGGAGAGGATGAACGTGCGGATTCGATCGATATGGCCGAGGTGTGTTGAGCAAATATGCGATAGGTACCAGTACATTCCTGGGAGTTCCTCTGGAGCGTAGATAGATAATTCGAATCCGAGTTGGAGTATGAGACGGAATTGGATGAGCTTTTGGTGGTAAGCCCAGCTGCTAAGCGGGTACGCGTATGTAGTGTCCCCGTTTGGAAGCTCTAACGGGGGTTCGTCGCTCAAGACACGTAGTTGTTCGTCGAGATCTTCGGCCTATAGGGATTTAGTCCTATTCCAATGCCTGGAATTACTAGAGAACAAACCTCCATTTGCAGATTGTCCCAATCTACAAGGGTATGACAGATCGTTCGGCGAATACGGCACCGATTCAAACATGCACTTCGGAATGTATCCACAAATGGCTACATTCACTGTAAGTTATATGATAAAAGTGATGGAGTGACGACACGTACCTGGGAAAAGCGCCTAACGAAGCCGTCCATCAATTGAGCAATCTGAAAACGAGGATCGGAGGGCATTTCGGTTTCATCGAGATTAGCTTCAAGCAGTATGCTTGAAGGCAGAACAAGGGCCGCTAGTTCGTCATACAAAAACTTTTTGACTGGAACGGCTCCAAGGACGATTGTCTTGCTCATGATGATGGTTTGAACGAGGGATCGAATGTATACTGACGGCTGAGGTTTTCGGGAAAGGATAGTCCAAACAGCCACCTATATAATCAGTAACCGTGGCAATAACAAAAGGTTTGCGAGCCATACTTTCAAGTTCGATGGCCCTCTATAGTCAAGTATTTGATTGAGATCGATCCCGTCCTGACATAGCCGTTTGAGATGCGCCAGCGCATCCTCAAAGCTGATCCTGACCATCGGACGGGGAGGCACTGTGCTGGCCAATTTCCTTTGGAATTTCCAACTGAAGGCTTCAGGCACAGGCCGACTGACAGGGTTCGATTCTTGGAGAGTCGGCAAAATCGACAAACACGACTGTAGCTTGTCCACTGATCTCGTTTCTAAAATATCGATATCCTGCTGCAAGCCTTGAAGAAACTCTTGTCGAAATTCCAATCGAGATTTTATGGCTTTTTTCACGGGTGTGTCCATCGCTTCCTGCTTATCGATCCAAGAAATCGCTTGGTTCAAAACTGTGGTGAAAAGTCCAGAATCAAAGTGTGGTAGCAATGACCGGTTGTAGAGTTGTGTGCTGAAATCCTCTTCCTGCGCGATTCACAAGGCGAGTCAGCCCTTGTATTCTTTCCCGCATGTAACGATACGTAGGGACTGACCTCATAGTAGAATTCCCCGATCACTCGCGTATGGACCAAGTCGCAGCACTTGATCAGCCCCAGGCAATATGCGCGTAGCACAATATGCACAAGCTCAGGTATTTGCCCATATCCGGCACGCCCCTCACGTCCAAAATGAGTATCTTCGAAGTGTTTCGGTATAGGCCATAGGAGTTTGTCAAGGTAGATCGAGGTGAAGAGGGTTTGCGAGAGAGGATGACCCATATGCCACGCCATCTGTCATTTGCAACAGTTTCATTCAGCACGTTCCTGGAGCAAGCAATGATCGAAATGTCCGACGTTTTTTACCCACCTCATGGCAAAGCAGCTCATCCATAATCCATACTACTTCCTCCGGTGCGAGGTCGCGCAAAACGTTGTATTCGTCCTCCAAGCCTTTGCCGCTTTCTTCGGGGCCTAGATATCCACTGTCCATCTTGGAGTCCATGATCTAATTATACACCGAATCCGTTAGCTCCTGCCGAGCACCTCCTGTCATGCCATAGTTGCCAGGCGCAATCGTTGGGTTAAGTTGCAGCCTACCTCCAACGCGCCCACGGCCTCAAAAAGCGTGAAGTATTCATCTTTAACAAGTTGTCCGGTCTTTAATTCTGTAGAGGGAAACCCTTGTCAGCAAGAGCTTACGCCGACGTAATTGGCCTTGGTAGGCCTGGCGGTGGCCTCACTTGATGCAGCTTGTGTGAACTTCTCTGTAATGTCGCGTGGAACAACGGACTGCGAAACGATTCGCGTCGTTGAAGCTCGGACCTGGCTATTGGGTAGCATAAGGAAGACGCGATCATTCGCAGCCAGCTGCCAGATCTACCAAATATATTGAGGTGCGGCGTCAACTAAAGAAAATGGTGAGGATGAAAGGTTGGGTGAGGGGATGGCGGGGAGTGGAGTGTCGTTCGGGCGGACAGGGAAAGCGTTCCGACCATGGAAAGAGCCTGAAAGCGGTGGTCTACGGATACACTGGAAGTCTATTTCTATACCACAAGCTTTTGAGGCATCTAAAAATGAGAAGGTGGTTTTATTCCGAGAACTTCAAGTAGGAGAGGGAAACAACTCCTTCCATTGATACCTAAACAACAGGCCATATCGTCACAAAGATTCCGAAGTTCCCCTGCCTCCGAGTTTCACCACCCGATATGTTCCAACATCGCCTAAAATACAACTATTCACTGCGTATCCGGGAGTTCAAAAGAGACGCTTATTTCGATTCGGCATTGGCGGCGAGAGCCTGGTCGTTGGCTTCGGCAAGGTTCTTAACTTCGCCCTGCTTGCCGTTCTGTTCCCAAAGCCCGGTTAGTCACAGCCTCCTGGAATTTCGCACGAATGGGTGTCTTGGAAATGGGAATACCAACCTCCCACTTGGCGAAACGCAGGTCCATGTTTCCACGGCGCTCAGCGGCGACACGAGGGCCGTCTTTGAGGGACCGGCGGACCGCGCGAGCAGCGACGGCCAGGTAGCGGTTGTAACTGAAAAGTTGAGCCATTGTCAGCGGTGTCTCCTAATCGGGCAGACGGGGCAGGTATCAGTGAGTATCGTACGTCAAACCAGCGGATTTCCAGGCGAAGACCATCTTGACGGTGTGAGTGGATTGGAGGGTTTAATGTACAAGGGGGCAGTCGGGATGTGATGCTTTGCAGAGCGACGAGTTCGGAGGGTCGGAATCTCGGGTCATGTGACACACGTGACGAACACCTGAGGAACCAATCATATCTTCTGAGTCTACTTGCATTCACTGAACAGCTTCAGCCTGGAGTGCAAGCAACTCCAAGAGCATTTTATTTTCCTCCCACAAAACTTATCCTTATGTTCGTTCTCTGGAACATTTCCATGGCCAACCTTAGAGTTTTTTACGGCGTATCTAACTGGGTAAAGGTTCAATTGCTTCAATTGTCTACCTCTATCTGAGATCTCTCCAAATAGAAGTTGTAATTTCGCTTTGGCTGTTGAGAATGGAGCAGTTCAGACCATATATAACAAATATTGATATTAGTTCTTTGTCTTAATTTCTTTTTCTGCTTTAGGCACCTCTTTGGTTGTGGGATATAAGACAAATATCTGCATCTTGACTTCGCCCTCTATCCACTCTTGTTTCCATAGAGCGAATCTGCTCATATAGAGAAATCCTCTCAGTTCTAGAAATACGTCAACGTTACGTGGTGCCTGAGGCTTGACTCTAGGGTTCATCGCGATCTTACTGTTGTATTCGTTCCTCGTACGCGTCTTCGTCCTCTAAGCAATTCGCTTTCGCCTCCATCGTCTTATCCATCTTCTCCCTTTTGCTCACCTTCATCTGCATCTTAAGTTCAACCACAAGTTTCAGACAATCACCCTATTATTTTCTTCCTACCACAGTATTGTTTCCCCTCTATTTGATCGCTTAATCTTCTCCGCTCCTCTCCGCTTGTGGTCACGAGCTGGATACCGTGCCTCTGGCTCGTTGTCACTCAAAATTCCTTCTCGCCTCACCTACCACTATAACTTGCACTTTGCCTTGATTTATTTGGCAACATGGTCAAGAAAACAACAGGAAAGAGGCCGAAAAAGCGAAACATCGTCCGCTGGGATGGTATATTGCTTCTTTACTCTCACTGTCAATCTAACCCCTACGGGCTATTCACTAACTTTTATCTCATTATATCAGAAAACCTCGATGAGCTCCTTCTGTTGACCATCCAATCGGTCTGCAATGCTAAATCAGTTAAGATTCCCTGGGCTGAAGTGGCTGCAACCATGGGTCACCATACCACTGAGGGCGCAATTACCCAGCATCTTGCAAAGCTGCGCATCCGCCGCATACAGGCTAACAAGCAGGTCCCTCCGCCCTTGAGGAGGGGTTCCGTTATTGGTAATTCTAAGCTCTTGGGAGTTTCAAATACCAAACCCCCCAAGGCGAATGGCCAAGTCGACAACGATGACAGCTCAGACGAAGAGTGGGTCGAGAACAGAAGCTTATCGCGACGTAGGGCTAGCACGAAAAGAAAGAAGCCACGAATGAACTATGCAGAATTGCAGGATGCCGGTTACGAAGAGGAATCCGATGACAGTGGTGAGGAATTAGTAGCGCCTGGGGCAGATTTTCTTGAGTTGCCCAACGACAAGCAACAGGAAGCAGCGCGCACACCAATTCACACCAGCAAGTTAGTCTCCTACAAGTGTCCAAAGTCATTCCTTGCTGGGCTTGACAAAATGCCGAAAGAAGAATCTTTCCAGGCAGCTCTGCCCAGAACCCCCACCCTGAAACCAGAGCCAGCCCTAAAGCGAGAGGCAGCCGTGAAGCCTGAACCAGCGACACCAAGCCGCGGTGTCTACGAGACTTTCCCGAATGAGGCGTTCGTCAGCCAGGCAAATCTTCCCACAGGATTTAGTTCCCCAATTAGCAATGCTGGTCCGGCACATAGTGGCTTTGCTGCACATGCCGACTTTCCTCTCCATGTCCCTGCTGCTCAAACCTCGGTGGACGCAAACACAATGTATATACCTACCGGCAACCTAGCTCTCGACCTGCCACCAATTGGAGATATTTACTCGGATCCTTTTGTTTCAGAGCCGTTTACTATGGCTAGTTCCTTCCCGTCACTCCAGGGGTACCAGCAGGAACAGCCGCTTTTTCCAAACCATGGGTTTCAAGAAATGCTTGGGGAGTATCTCATGCAACCTGAAGAGTCCGAATGGTATTGTGGACAGCAAGAATAGTAGCCTGATGGTTACCTTGACATATGATGAGATTTACGGAGTAGTATACTGGGTTTTAGTTCGCTTTGTTTTTCCCTGCTTAAACTCGGTAACTGGGCCGGTTATTAGCGGGTATGCTCCCGCAGATGTATTTAAGAAAACAATCGTCTGTACTCCGAAAATCGTCTCTGGTTTAGCTATGAACATGATCCTTGCCTTAGTAGATTTTCGGGCCAATTATGCACGCGATAGCTCCAGCTTCCGAAACGTACTCCGTAAGGTCCAGCCAAAGAAGCGCCGGGTACAGATCGTCGTTCCGACAACCCGAGCACATTCCCTCGGATACGGGACACGTGACCTTCTAGGAGCTTCTGCTGCCAAGAAATCCGGAGATGGAGAGAAAGGCCTGGAAAATTTTCGAGACTTTGGCTTCATCTCTCACCTTCCGACTCTTCTCATCTCCTATTCTCCCCATCATCCCTTCATCTGCATCCGTTCTGCTCCGGGAGCTTTGATCGGACAGACTTCTTTGTGCTCATTAATATTCGCTTTTGCCATTGTTTTAATTGTTCTTTTTCTCCGTTTCTCCCTTTCAACATGCAGCGAGCTTTCTCTGCCAGGACCTCGGTCCTCTCTGCTGCTTCCAAGCGCACCCCCTTCTACAAGCCTGCTGGCCTCAACCTCCAGCAGCAACGGTTCGCCCACAAGGTACGTTCAATTACAATTGCGGCGCCAATTGATGCCACGCAAGCTCTCGATCAACCTTCCGCAGGTCCCGGGGCGTCGATTGACACCAGAGTGCTAACCATGGGCAGGACCTCAAATTTGGCGTCGAGGCTCGCGCTCAGCTCCTCAAGGGTGTTGACACGCTTGCTAAGGCTGTCCAATCCACTCTTGGTCCCAAGGGTCGCAATGTCCTGATCGAATCTCCCTACGGCTCCCCCAAGATCACCAAGGGTACGTTACTCCTTTAGTCATCATCGCTGAAACCCATCCCTCTGCGACGAAAACATCAATCAAGCGATTTTGTGTATCATAACTGACTTCAATAGATGGTGTGACTGTTGCCAAGGCTATTCAGCTCCAGGACAAGTTCGAGAACCTCGGTGCTCGTCTCCTCCAGGATGTCGCTTCCAAGACCAACGAACTTGCTGGTGACGGTACCACCACCGCTACCGTCCTTGCTCGTGCCATTTTCTCCGAGACCGTCAAGAACGTCGCCGCTGGCTGCAACCCCATGGATCTCCGCCGTGGTATCCAGGCTGCTGTCGAGGCCGCTGTGGACTACCTCCAGCAGAACAAGCGTGATATCACTACCGGCGAGGAGATTGCCCAGGTTGCTACCATCTCCGCCAACGGCGATACCCACGTTGGTAAGCTCATCTCTACCGCCATGGAGCGTGTTGGTAAGGAGGGTGTCATCACCGTTAAGGAGGGTAAGACCCTTGAGGATGAGCTTGAGGTTACCGAGGGTATGCGCTTCGACCGTGGATACACCTCTCCCTACTTCATCACCGACGCCAAGTCGCAGAAGGTTGAATTCGAGAAGCCCTTGATCCTCCTTTCCGAGAAGAAGATCTCTGCTGTCCAGGACATCATTCCCGCCCTTGAGGCCTCCACTACTCTCCGCCGCCCTCTCGTCATCATTGCTGAGGACATTGAGGGTGAGGCTCTCGCCGTCTGCATCCTGAACAAGCTCCGTGGCCAGCTCCAGGTCGCTGCCGTCAAGGCCCCCGGCTTCGGTGACAACCGCAAGAGCATCCTCGGTGACCTTGGTATTCTCACCAACGGTACCGTTTTCACCGATGAGCTTGACATTAAGCTCGAGAAGCTCACCCCAGACATGCTTGGTTCCACTGGTTCCATCACTATCACCAAGGAGGACACCATCATTCTGAACGGTGAGGGCAGCAAGGACTCCATTTCCCAGCGCTGCGAACAGATCCGTGGCGTCATGGCTGACCCCACTACCTCCGAGTACGAGAAGGAGAAGCTCCAGGAGCGTCTTGCTAAGCTCTCTGGTGGTGTTGCTGTTATCAAGGTCGGCGGTGCCTCTGAGGTTGAGGTTGGTGAGAAGAAGGACCGTGTTGTCGATGCTCTCAACGCTACCCGCGCTGCTGTTGAGGAGGGCATCCTCCCCGGTGGTGGTACTGCTCTCCTCAAGGCCTCCGCCAACGGCCTTGAGAACGTCAAGCCCGCCAACTTCGATCAGCAGCTCGGTGTGAGCATTGTCAAGAGCGCTATCACTCGCCCTGCCCGCACCATTGTCGAGAACGCTGGCCTCGAGGGCAGCGTCATTGTCGGCAAGCTGACCGACGAGTTCTCCAAGGACTTCTACCGTGGTTTCGACAGCTCCAAGGGCGAGTTCGTCGACATGCTCGCTGCTGGTATCGTTGACCCTCTCAAGGTCGTCCGCACCGCTCTCGTCGACGCTAGCGGTGTCTCTTCTCTGCTCGGTACCACCGAGGTTGCCATCGTTGAGGCTCCTGAGGAGAAGGCTCCCGCTGCCCCTGCTGGTGGTATGGGTGGTATGGGCGGCATGGGCGGCATGGGCGGCGGCATGTTCTAAACTGCTTAATCCACCGCCTCATGTACCCATATCAATGCCTTTCTTGGTTTCAAGTTTTTAGAGGTTTTCCTTCGAGCGTGTCTTTGCATACAATGGGCATACCATGATATGTTTTGAGATCTCTATTTGTATTATTTTCCTTATGTCTTTAATGTGTTATATGTCTTGTATTACTCATCCTGACTTGCGACAATACTCATCCTACTATACCTCATGTTATCACTACTCCGCACTCTTGGTTTAGGTCTTTTTCTAGCCATCTCTCCACTCTACCTTATTGGCACTAAAAGTCAGGGGACTCTGTATTATATCCTCCCATGAAATATCAAACATGGTCAATTTCAGTTGCTTTCAGTTACAGAATCTCATATCTAGGCAAGCGTCACAAGCATGTAGTAGTAACCTGATCCTATTCCCCCTCTTAATGGACTGTAAAACGGAGTAATCATCTTTATTGGGTATACCGTAGCTATGACCGTTAAAACTTCAACCCCGGAAATTCGACATACTCTACGCAGTGTCCCTATCCCTCTCCCTCATCCTACCCGCTGCCCCATTCGCTTGACCCCTCAACCTCTCCGCAAGCCCGTTATTAGTATGACTGTTCCCACTCGCCTCCGAAACAAGCACTGACGGCAGCGTCATCCCCTGCGACCTTC